GTGCCCCAGGGGCGGGGCTGGCACCGCAGGTCAGGGGATCAAACTCTTGGCCCCTGCATCTGCCTAAGCAGGCACTTTAATCTGCTGAGCTATTTGACCAGCCCTAATTTTCAGAAATTTTTTTATAAAAGACTTTTCAGAAGGGATCATGACTCTATCTTCTGCTTGGAAATCTGAATTTTAGTTACCTTTTCACTGCACGCATCTGGAACGGATGATTACAATATAACCAGAGACTCAAGATGCATATCAAAGGTTCTTACAAGCTACCTGAATCTGTGGCTCCTAAATTGCAGTTCCCAATGCCCCAAATGAAGACCATTTTACTTTTGAAGCTTCTGAGTTTGGATCGCTCACCAGAACCAGTTGCCCACCCTGAAATCAAAGCCCTTCTTGCTGGCTCTTACATTGAGCATCAGTCATGTGCATTAAAAGGACATGTCTTACTTTTGATCTTGTGCTAGAATCATAAATGCTCCTTGGAGGTAGCCCAAAGCTGAGAGGTGTTCTCCCTGTTTCCACCAAGGAATACCATTAGGGATCCAGTAGATCAGTGAAGAGGCTAGTGGAGGAGCGGTGGCACAGCCGGCAGTATGGGCCGGGTCCTTGTGGAGTGCTGAGGTAACCGGCAAGGAAAGGCAGGTCCTGTAGGCCTAGGGTGGGCGAGAAGTGCACAGCCCCGTGGGAGAAGACCTGCTTCTAGACACATGTGAGATGGCAGTGCTTTCGGAGGGCATCTTGCAAGGCTGCAATCCTCTAGGTGGAGCAAGTACAAGGAACCTGGACTGCTGTAATTCAGGTTACTATTTCTATCACACAGCCTGATGCCTGATGAGGCCCAGGGAAGCTTTTTTTTTTTTTTTTTTTTTTTTGCGGTACCAGGGATTGAACTGAGGACGTTGCACTTGCCAGGCAAGCACTTATGCTGCCAACCTGTCTTCCCAGCCCAAGTAGAATAATTCTTTCTTTCTTTCTTTATTTCTTTCTTTCTTTCTTTCTTTCTTTCTTTCTTTCTTTCTTTCTTCTTTCTTTCTTTCTTTCTTTCTTT